TCTCTCTCTCTCTCTCTCTCTCTCTCTCTCTCTCTCTCTCTCCCTTCCCCCATTCCCACTCCCCCCCTTAGGCAGGCAGACGCATCCTGGCACTGCCAGTCCCGCCCCTGGCATGTGCTGAGAGTGCGCTTGAGACTGGGCATGGTGGTGCATGCCTGTAATCCCAGCTCTAGGGAGGCTGAACACAGGCAAATCACTAGAGTCCGATCTAAGTAGTAAGACCTTGTAGACCCTGTCCTAAAATATTAAATAAATAAATAAATATAAATAAATAAATAAATGTTATCTTTAGTTGAAAAATTGGCAAATTGTCTAGTTATATTCTCTCCCCCTCAACCACAAACTTGGTAGTTACTGAATTTGCAGGCAACATATTTAAAGCTGATGATGTTCCTTCTCTCAGCCTCCTTAGAATTCATTCTTTGACTCTGGGGAACATGAATTCAGCCTATCTGACATCCAGCATCGCCTAACTCCACACCAGGCATTTGAGGCACTGAGCAAGGCCAGAGAGGGGGAGGTGGCGCCTCCTTCCCCGAGCACACAGCCACGGGGCACTGCTGTCCAGCCAGAGAGGACACACACAAGTTAAGGCACAGGTTTTGTGGACTTGCTCGGGGAAGAGCAAGGTGTGCAAGGCCTGCATCATTTTTGATTTTGCAGTTCCTCATTATGGGGGGAAGAAAGAGAGAGAGAGAGAGAGAGAGAGAGAGAGAGAGAGAGAGAGAGAGAGAGAGAGAAATACAATGAAGAATAAAAATTGGCCTCAATGTGGCGGCGTGCACCTGTGATCCAGCACTGGGGAGGCTGAAGCCAGCCTGGACTATATAGTGAGACCTGTCTCTAAGTAAGTAAGGAAGTAAATAAATAAATAAATAAATAAAGATTTTTCTGAATTCAGTGCAAAGTAACTTGCAAACTGGTATGAAATAGCCAATATTCAGAAACTCATAATTTACCAAAACTATTGCTAACAGAAAATTCAGTTTTCAAAACTACAGTGTCAAAGACATTTTCTCTTCCATCCAAAATAAAAACTGCCTGAACTGACAATTTTACAGGGCACTTCTTCCAAAACTTTTTAAAAGAAGTCAATTCCAATGATATTTGGTATATAAACTGATTCAGAATACTGAAAGGGAAGAAATGTTCACAAATTATTTTTATGGAAAAGGTGTACTATGAATAAACCTCCAAGTCTCCAAAGATTGAACAAAAAAGAAAACAAGGTCCTGAGTTAGATTCCCAATACAAAAAAAGAGAAAGAAATACAAAAGAAAATGTGAACAAAAGAAAAGGCCTTCCCTGTCCTTCGATGACTCAACATTACAAAGATGTCACTATTCCTAAATTAACCTACAAAGTCTAGGAAGAAAGGCGTCAGAAACATTTTGTCAAAGTAATGAAACCAAGTTATATGTGCATATGGAATAAATGCTAGCATAACCTTTCTCTCTTTCTCTTGATCTATACTGGTGTGTGATCTCAATGTTTGGTAGGTACTGTCAAATGGTGATTTCCCACATATAAATAAGAAGAAATTACATACAGCATGCAATCTTAACCAGACATAGTGGGAAGGCGCAGCCATAAATCTGGAATTTCTAAGTGAAATACTATTGAATTCGTATAGTATTGGACTCATCACAGTGTTAATGGACGAGATAGTCCTAATAATAAATTTTTTAAATCAGAAATGAGACCAACTAGCCCCAATCTCATTTCAGACAGGAGTCAACTGAGAGCCACAAAGGCTAAGTAATATTCTCTGTGTTCCAAGGCTGACTTGCAGTGATAAAGCCCAAATTTCCCAAATGTTTGCCTTTCTGAAATACAACATATGGAGCTATATACAATGATCTATGGCTAAATATTTATAGAAAATATACACATAGGTTTTCAGACATAAGTATAGCTATATCATATAT